GGGGGGGGGGGGGGGGGGGGAGCTCCCGGCGCTGGCTGGCCTGGCCCCACACCGCTGGCGTAGACCGTGAGCGCCAGTGAGGACCTCACAGCCCGCATGGGTCCTCGGCCACACTATTTTCTCCGTGGGCGGCTGGCCCGGGGTCCCCGCCGGTCCCGGTCCCGAGGATCGAGGGCTGGACTCCTCCCATACGTAGCTCAGTGTGGCTCGCCGGTCCTGCAGTCGGTACACGTTCTGGACAATGAGGAATGCGCTGGTCCTTCCGAACAGGACGCACTCTGGCTGATAACTAGTTCTGACGGGGCTTTCCCAAGCATCCTCCAGCCGCTAACCCAAATGTTGCCAGTTTGGTTTTATACCAGGTTAAGCAAAATGAAGTATCGCGCTTGGGAACATACGCTTTATTAAAGGTTGTGTCATTAGGTACATCTGTCAATAAAATTAACTCCTCTGGTACAAACCGCCCCATCCACCGTCCTCCCATACTTCGGGAGCAGGCAGAACTAGGCTTGCTCCACTCGCAAACCTTGGGCTGGCTGGGTCCATGCTGTTCCTGCTGGACATATCCAGCAGTAGGCCAGTCAGGGCCTCCCTCCCGCAGCCACACCCAGGTCAGAGCCGCAGATGAAGGCAGCCTCTCCCATTCCCATCTGCACCATGAAGACCATCAGCCTTGATAGACCTCAGTGGTCAACAGCGAGGTCCTCTCCGGATCCAGGCAACCTGCAAGGGCAGTGGCTGATCCTGTGCAGCAGTCCTGGTAGGCTCACTTGCTGGGTGGTGCTGTGGCTCCCTAAGATCCCTCCCTAGGCTAGGCGGCTGAGATGTTGGCCTGCCCTGGAGTGGGGAAGCAAGAACGCACTTAAGGCCTCTGGGCTGTGGGCAACCCCCACAGTTGACTAGGATGGGGAGAGGCACCCTGGCCTGGCCCTAGGTGGCTGCTCGGCCTCCCTACTAGGAGTGGGCCATTGCCTGGCTGCAGCCACCAGGAAGAACTAGAGAAGGCACATGGGAACCCCTCAACTATCAGCTTCCATTCAACATCAAAGGGCCTGGAACAAATGTGGGCCTAACTTGTTAACTGGGGACAAGTACAACCCGTAATAAAGTTAAGGCAAAGTGGCCAGGAGAGGGTGTTGGGCCAAATCTCAGGGTCTTGGGGCTCTGGAGCATTCTGTGGAGTACCAACCTCCACCTGAAGGTGCTGAAGGCTCCAGGGACAGGGCATTTCCATGAGAATTTCTTTTAAATCAGATTCCTCAGCCTACCACAGGCTCAGGCTCAAGGCGGAGAACCGCTGCAGGTATATGCTTTGACTAGAGCCCTTTGCCAAGGCCCAGGAGCTCTACTCCCATATGTGGCTAATGGAGGTACAAAATCTGCTGTGATGTTCAGCGCACAGTACAGACATCAAGAATGCAGAATCGTGCACGGCAAGTGGGACAGGGCACACGGCTGGCCAGCCAAGTGTCAGGGCGCTGGGGGTCCTGGCGGCTGGCAAACCACTTGCCCATGCAAGTGAGACACCACATGGGGCGGCAGTAACATTGTTGGCACTCGCCCACAGCCGGCTCCTGGCAGGTTTTCACCAGCTTCACATTGGCCCGTGTCTGCATGCAGCCTATACAGGCCTCAAGCTCCTACAGAGAGATAGGTGGGACACAGGGGTTGCAAAGGCCTGCATTGAGGGGGTATGCCCACCCTTCAACTTGGGCCAGCCCCTACCTGGCTACTGGACACTGAATAGGCTGGGTTGACCTCCACCAGGGAGGCAAATGTTTCCAGGAATAGGTCACCCAGGCTCTGGCGGATGACAACGTTGGCTGCACTGCGGATGGGGGCACGGAGCTTCTCACATAGTTCGCCATACTCTGCTGAGTTCAGCCTGAAAGGTATGGTCTGATGAGCTGGGCCATGCTGCCCCTGGAGCCACAATGCAGGACCAGAAGCAAGCAGGGCCAGAGAAAACAAGCAACCTTGAGAAGTCCCCAGAGTAGCATCAGGTAAAGATGGTCCTGTGGGCACAGTCCACAGACCCAGTGGTCACTCTCCCCAAGGAAGATGATAGAATAGCTTGGAGCTAAGTGCCACTGAGCTGCAGTCCTGGGCCATCTCAAGAAGCTGTGGAGGTAGTTCAGTGACAGAACAGAAGGAGCAGCACAGGGAAAGCTGAGGGTAACAGGGAACTGGAAGCGGTCAAGTGACTGATGTCACAGCCCCAGGAATGTCTCTGCCCACCCCCACCCTCAGCACCTCCTAAGAGGTGCATGAAGTCCACTGCACCCTCCACAACCACCACACTTACCTTATATCAAAAGGCTGCATAGCAGGGCAGGTGCTTGCTACTCGTATGGTAAGGAGCTGCACAGGTAGGTTTGAGTCTGGTGAGAGATCATGCTGCCTAGACTCTGTTACAGTCAAGTGCACATCCTGTTGCTGAGCCACATGCACACGGTATGTGGTCACCTTCATTACCCACGTGTCTGTCACAATCACACGGGCACCAGGTGCCCCAGTAGCAAACTTGTCAATCCGCCGGAACTCTGTGTTGATGGAAGAGGCAACTGCCTGCCAGCCTGACTGTGGAAGAGCATAGTGGGCTAGGGTTCTGGCCAGTGGGTGTCGGGCCCACCTGTCCTGGGACCAGTAGTAAATCAGGGCACAGCACATAAAGAAGAGAGTCACAGCCAGGAGAAGGAAGACCTGCCAGGCCTCCGGGGCCTGATGGGGTGAGTAGAGCTGCTTCTCTGAGGCTGCAAAGCACATGCCCATGTAGTAGCCTGCAGAAGAGAAGGCATCTCAGGAGAAGTCCAGTCTGCCAGGTACCACATGACCCATCTGAAGACCCTAGTGCTATCCCTATGCTAGGAGAAGGGAGAAGCCACCTCCTCTCTTCTTGCAAGCTCTGGGCCTTGCCAGGGTCACCTAGGACATGGTCAGCTCCCAGCACAGGTGACCCTGACCCCTTGTACCACCACAGCAGGCCTGCCACAACCCTTAGCCACAACAGTGGTACCACATTTTAGGAGAAAAATTTTCAATTTACTTCTATAATTTCACACAAGTAGCACAAAAGTGGGGGGGAGGGAGGGTCACAGACAGACAAAAGGAAACAATGACCTTCCCTAGAACTGTCCCCCTGGCCTAAGGACAGCTCTCTGGACCAGAGCTTGGTCTCTCAATTCTGGCCCCTCTGATAAGGCAAATGGATCCAGCATGGCCCATCCCAGAGTTGGGACACTGCAAGAAAGTAAGCAAGCAATCAACAATGGGGCATGTTGGAAGGACACAGGAACCAGTTTCAGGGCCCTCCTGGCCCAATAAATAAAAACTTGAGCATCAAAATGAATTACAACGTAGTGACTGTGTGGGCAGGCTCTATTTTGCAAAAAACAATAGTAAATGTTAATTTTCAGTCAGATACCTACATGTTAAGATAAGTTGTGACATAGCAACAGGCCAGCTCCTCTGACTGCTTTTGGTGTGGCCCTCACCCTCACGGGTACTTGTCCTCCCTGACTTTAGGGTCTCTGTTCATGCCGTGGAAGTGTTACTACTAATGGGGCTCCAGAAACCCACCCCACAGGCCCCTCTCGTGCAGGGCCCACGGAGGTCAGAGGAAGGCACTGGATCCCCTGAACTGGAGTTACGGACGGTGGTTAGCCAACCGTGTGGGTGCTGGGAATCGAGCCCGGGTCCTCTGCAAGACCAGTCGGTCCTCTTAAGTGCTGGGCCATCGCTCCTGCCCCAGACCGCTCCTGTTGTAATCAGTCAACAGAAGCCCTTTCCTAGCAAGTGCCCCCGGACACGGCGAGGAGGCTGTGCGCATCCTGCACCCCAGGCCACGGCGATGGTCCAAAACTGAGCCTCACTCACAGGCTAGCTTAGGCCACCGCCCCCCAGTCGAGAGAGTACGGGGTGCCCCGAGCGCTCGGTGACGGGCTCACCCAGCGGCAGCAGCGAGTGGCACAGCAGCGTGGCAGCCGTGCGACGGAGGTGGTAGGGCACGAAGGCGGCGTCCTCACTGCCCAGCCAACCCGACAGGAGGTTCTGGACAGTGAGGCCGGCAGAGTAGAACTCGTTCGGCGTGAACACGAAGCACACTGCGAAGACCAGGTAGGCCAGTGTGAAGGTCACCTCGGGACTGTCCATCGCGCCGCCGCCCAGTGCGCAGGAAAGAGACGGGAGCGGCGGGTCCCCTGGCGGTTGGTAGGTAGTGGCTTCAACCGCCAGGCCACCCGCGGGGCACTCTGGGAGACCGAGTCCTCTGTTAGGCCGCACGCGGGGCACTCTGGGAGATGGAGTTCTCCGCGTCCTCCGTTAGGCCGCACGCGAGGCACGGAGTCCCCCATTTGGCCACCCGCGGGGCACTCTGGGAGGATTCTTGGCGTGCTCTGACCGTGTCCGAGGCAGAACTTGAGAGTCTCGGGGCCATAGGGGTGTCCCACAGTGGCCCCCGACAAGCGGCCTCGGCAAGTGGTGTAAACCCACTGTCCGCTCAGCGCCGGACGTCCCCGGTGCGCCCTCAGTCCCGGAAGCGGAACTGCCTGTGCGAGAAGGGCGGGACCAGCGAGGCCTGCGGTTGGCCGCGACGTCTGTGCGGCTCTTGCCCGCGCGCTGATTGGCCGGCATCGTCAACCGTCGGTATTTGAATCTGCTGGCGGGCCGCGGGAAGGTGGGCACGGACTGCGAGCGGGGTGTTGCGACTAAATAGGCTCAGCTGCAGCTCCGGTGCCTGGCGCGGAGCGGGCGCGGCACTGCTCTCTCGGAGTGGGCGGTGGCGCGGGCGCAGGGCCCAGCAGCAGCTGGCAGGTAAGCAGCGGTCTCGCGTACGCGCCGGTAGGAGCGGGGATGAGCGCGAGGCCTCAGGCGGACTTGGATTCTGCCGGCCCTCGTCCCGGTTAGCGTCGCCGGCTCACATTTTGGAGGGCGCACCCCTCGTACCTGGGGTGTCTTCTGTGCTGGCGGCCCCGCCCAGCCTCCCTTGCAGGACCGCGACCTGCACTCCGAGAGTGCCTGGTGGATCTCCTCAGGCTCCGTCGGTGGCGAGTGTCCTGTGTGAGGCTCTCATCTCTGGCCAGACATCCTTTGTACCACCTCTTTTTCGAGCCCGCCGCCCCAGGGATAGTTTTTTTCTCTTGGGTCCTCGTCCTCTCTATCGTTCTTCCGTCCAGCCTGGGCACATCAGAATAAATGGCTTCTCTTGTAGACATTTTGTCGCCCTCCCTCCCCCTCAGAGAAGGTCCTGCTAGCTGAGTTTCTCCTCTTTTCTGAAATACATGTGTCAGGGTTTTCCTAACTCTAGCCAGCAGGATGACTTCTGTATATACCTATGTGCTTTGACTCAAAAAAGCACATTTCCACTCATCCCTTGATCTTACACACCTGCTGACCACTGTTCCAGGTGGGTGGTGTGTTGTTCATTCTTCCCTGCATACTCCAGCTGGGAGACCATCATCAGCTTCAGCTATACCACCTCCCATTGGCACCTGAACCTCATGCTTATTAGTCTCGCCAGGACAGGTGCAACAGCATATTGAAAGCTTCTGTATGCCTCCTCTTACACCCCAGTCAGTCCTGCACCAAGAAGACATCAGCACTCAAGCCTGGCTTCTCAACTCTGTGCCCAAGAACTCCTCAGTAACATGGTTGCCACACAAAGGTGAGAACCTTAGTTTGGATTCCCAGCACCCATCTAAAAATAGCCTGACATGGTGGCAGTGTCCGCAGTCCTAGTAGTGGACAGGTGAAGACTGGAGGATACCTGGACCTCACTGGCAGCTAGTCCTGCTGATTCAGTGAGCTCAAATTCACTTAGCACCCTACCATAGTAAGAGTGTAATTCAAGAAGGCACTTGGCGTCAACCCTCAGCCTCCAGTGCACACACACATAGGCACATGAATGCACATACAGGTGTACATGTGTACACACCAAAGAAAGTCTTCAGCCAAAGTTGGGCCTGGAAATATTGGACTGGTGGTGGTTCTACCTTCCTGCCTGAAAGGCTTCCTAAGACCATGTATCCAGAAGTCTGTGCTTGTATATCCCACAGTATCCGTGTCTCTCCCCACACCCTCCTATAACAGTTTCTCGAGCCAAAATCTTAAACATTGCCCTTGATTTCCCACCACCATCACCCCCAATATCCTTTGTACCTTGTTGGCCAAGCAGTCTAGCTCTCTTTGGTCTCCTCTTGGCCCCCGTTTGGGGCAAGTCAGTGCTTTGTTCTCTGGTGACCCCTAGACTAGTAAGTAGGAAAGAAGATGGTATCTGTAGTGTCGGTGACTAGTGGAAGGACCTAGGGAGTGGAGGTCCTTCTGATACAGAAGCTCCTTGAAACTTGCTGAATAAAGTGGTGACCTGCCTCCCTGTCCTCTGCTGCCTCCTAGCACCTCTGAACTTTCAAGTCTGCGCACAGCCTTGTCCACCCCTCTCTCTAAGAGGGAGTAGACCAGAGCTGCTGCCTTTTCTGTGGGTTTGCTCTCGGCTGACCTTGTGTTCTTTGCCACATCCAGAGGGGTCTGGATCCTCTCTGCCTCTCTAGTTTTTTGTTTTTTCTTACATTTGCTTCCTTGGGGGAGGGGGATGGATAGTGTGGAGGTCAGAGGACAACTTGTGAGAATCAGTCCTCTCCACCAGGTGGATCTTGGGGGCTAAACTGACATGTCAGACTTGGCAGCAAGTGTCCTTGCTGAGCCATCTCATCAGTCCTGGCTCTTTTTCTTACAGCCAGGATTTTACTATCCTTAGCTCTGCTCTTCAGTGTAGTGAAGCAGTGGAGTCACTCTAAACACCTTGGTCTGTACCGTTTCAGCAATTGGCTCAGGAGGTAGCAGTTTACCCTGAAGTGGGACAGGGACTCTAATGCCTCCTCTGGCAGTGCAAACTTTAAACTATAACTGTGCTGAAAGAGGTATCTCCCTGCTGCGCTTGTGGGGCATTTCTGCACAAGCTGTGTCTAATAGTGCAGTTTCATTGCCCTCCCACTAAAACATTCTGCTTTTCCAGGATGAGTCTACATATCTTAAATGACGAAAATGTCCCCAGTGAAAAAAATGCAGAAAACTGCGACTTCCTGTTTTCACAACCAGAACTTACCGGAAGATCCTCTGTTCTTCGTCCATCGCAGAAAGAAAATGTTCCCCCCAAAAACCAGGCCAAAGTGGCAAAGGTAGGTGTGGACTCTAACATATGTGCTTGTCAGGTCCTCTGGGATCTGCTTTTCTGAGAACTCTAAGCTGTGTGGCACTCTGGCTTGCTTGTGAGGGCTTGCATCATGGAACACTCGAATTCTCCTTGCCTTCCAACAGGTGACTTTTCAGACTCCTCTGCGGGATCCACAGACACACAAGATCTTAAGTCCTAGTATGACCAGCAAACTTGAGGCTCCTTTTGCTCTGGACGATAGTGTTGGATTAGAAAACTGTCCCTACATCTGGCTACAGAAAGAGAAGTAAGCATTGGTGCCGTTCAATGTCTTGGAACTGTCTCCTCTCAGAGGGCCATCCTAAAAGCATTCAGGCCTATCACATCTGGGCTGTTTTTCTCCTGATCTTTGCCCTTAGTATATGCAGTACCTGGCCCAGTTAGTCAGATTTAATCATCAGATACTTGGAATGAGTTTGAATACCCACTTCTCTCTGTTGTTGGGCCTTGGCACTCTGTGTATTGTTGGTGTTTTGTTTTTGGTTTTTGGGTTTTTTTTTTTTTTTTTTTGACAGGGTCTCTGTAGCCCTAGTTGGAACTGGAGATGTGTAGTCCAGGGTGGCCTTGATTTTACAGAGATCCTCCTGTCTCTGCCTCCCATCAAAGGTGTGCACCACCACGCTTTTATTTCTATAAAAGACTATTTCTTTGATGAAATACTAGATCTCATCTCCAGGGAAGATGATCTATAGTTTTCTTCCTTTTAAATTCCGCCTATCCCTTCTACTTGAAGTCAGCACTTGCCTTCCTACATGAGGGCAACACTTGGAGAGAGCAGACAGAACTCATAGGCAGGAAGACTGTCATAGGACCAACTAGTCAGAAGTAGGGAGATGGTTCAGTCGGGAGTGGTTGCCACACAAGGTGGAGGACCTGTGTTCGGTCCTTAGGGCCTATAGTTAAAAAGCCCAGCACAACCATGCACACCTGGAATGCCAGCCCTAGTGAGGGAGGACCTCTGGGGCTCACTGACCAGCCAGGCTAGCCAAAACAGCAAGCTCCAAAAAAATACCGTGCAGAATGTGGTTGAGAAAGATATCCAGTGTTGATTTCTGGCCTCTGCACGCACATTCACACACAAACGATCTAGTAAGAACAGGTGCAGCTTAAAGGATGGGGAGACAGTCCATGGCAAGTTATGTTAGGCATGGGCCTGGCAGGGAGGTCAGAAATTTCAAAGGTTCAGATCTTTCATTAGTACGTATGTGTGGTTGAATACCCTGGTACCTTAGTTTCCAATATAATGGGCAAAACCTAACTACAACCTAGCCAGGTGTGATGGCACATGCCTTTAATCCCAGAACTTTGGAGGCAGAGACAAGCAGATCTCTGAGTTCGAGACCAACCTGGTCTATATCAAAGTTCCAGGCCAGCTGGGGCTACAATAAGACCAAAAAAAAACTTCAAGGATGTTTAACCAAAAGGGGCCTTTGATCAAGAGACAGCTACCAAGATGCAGCTGCCATTTCCCTTGGTTTCCTCATATCTAACTCTGCCTATGGGGTATCTGGTACAGTCTCCTTCCTTGAAAGGTGGAAACTTTCTTAGAAGCCATTCTTCCCCAAATTTAGTCTGTTGCAATTGGATGGGAAAGGGTAACAGCACCTGGCATAGTTCCTCAGGGTGGGCTTCATGGGTGCCAGTCAGCCTGCCAAGACAAAGCAGCTTTGCTGTGCTTTCCTAGAGCCCTGAGCTTTTACTCTGTCAGCTTAGCTGTTGCTTGTGCTCAGCTGCACACCCTCTTATTGCCCATCCCTACTCTCCTCAGTGGGTGTGTGTCTGCGCTATCACCATTATTGTGTCATGTTGAAAAGGAGCAGGGCAGGGGTGGGCACCACCCTTCCATCGACAGGGTAGACTGTACCACTACTGTCTCCTCCTCTAGAGCTACCTCCCCACCTGGGCTCTTAGCTCTAACGTTCCTTTTAACCCTAACATTTGTTTTCATAATAATGCTGGGTATTGCCCTAGGTATCTGCAGAGAAGAGAGCAGCTGGACTAGGCTGTGGGAGTTTCTTACCCTAAAACTTCTTGATTTTAGCTTTTTCAAACTAGGAGAAAAGTTGCAAGAATAGGACTCTGAGTGTAGGGTTCTCTTCATCTGAGTCACTGAAATGGCAGTTCTGACTGTGACATTAGCCTCCTCTGGCCAAAGGTTAAATAACACTTGCCCCAAGCACAGCACAGTATGTGTCCTCCAACATTGTGGTTGTGATGCCCAGCACTGTCCCAGAAGGGTTTCCAGCCTGTTAGGGTCTCTGTGGCCCTGCCACCCTAGGGTGTTAGATACAAGGCACAACAGTGGCCTAGAAATGTGTCCTCTGCTCAGTCTGAAGGCAGTATTCTTTAACGTTTTGGTTGTTAGCCTTAGCCTTTAACAGCTGCGCTATCCCTCCAGCCCATGAAGGCAGTATTCTTAATCGCACATTCCTTCTCCTCTGAAGTTCGTCACATAGCTGCTGGTCCCCTGCTTAAAGGGGAAAGTAGGTTAGTGAAACTAACCAGAGCAGCTGGTTTGTCATGCCTTTGTTCTGTCTTAGAGCTGTGTGGCTCCTGGTACCGTCAGCACTGACCATGGGCAACAAGGTAGAGCTCATTCTTCCTAATGTTTTCACTTAAGCTGAAATCTAGTGGAAAACCTCAAAGGTTACTTAGTGTTAACTATACCTGTTTCCTAAAAGCCAACAGTTCACCAGGGAAGTAGACAAAACAGCTACCAGTGGAGTTCTCCAGAAGCAAGCAAGCATTGATGCTTCTCTGGGAAATGAAAACTCGGCCTTTGAAGGCAGTGGTTCCAACAAGCATGGCTCAGCCCCACTAGATGACCTCAGTTACTCAAGTTCTTCCCAGAGCCCAGGAAGTCCTAAAAACCTGGTGGCCTCTCCAGGACAATGGCCTGACAGCCCTGGTCAAGCCTTGAAGGAAGGCATTAGTATTTATTCCTCAGATAAAAGCATTCCATCTACCTGTGAGATCCTAGAAGACCCTGCTGAGACAGTATCCCCACACACGGAGGAGGCTTCTCCTGGAACCCTGGGAGAAAGCTCATCCCTAGCTGCCTTGCCTGTAGCTGCTGCTTCATCTGGTCCAAGCTCTGAAAGCCCTCAAAGAACAACATCCCCCACAGACCTGGCTGATGAGGCCCCAGCCTGCCCCAAGGATGTAGATATCCTTGAGCCAACAATGGACATCCAGAGCCCTCCCCACGTGTGTTCATCTGGTTCTGAGAACTCAGTCCCGGCTGGCCCTCTACAGGCTAGTGGGGCCACAGACCCAAGTCCTCAGGAAGAAGCCACTGGCCAAATGGTCATCCATTCAAGGAATGACTCCATAAGGCTAGAATTTGACTTCTCTGATGATACCACCAAAAGGGTGTCTCCACCAAAGAGACTGGCTCTTGCTGGCCTCCAGCCTTTCCTGAAGGAATCAGATGCCAGGCAGGAACAGGCCCCCAAAGAGGCAGAAGAAAGCGATAGGGCCGGAGAGAAGGTTGAGTGTCTGCAGCCTGTTTCCCATGGCTCTTACCACCTCGACTGGGACAAGCTGGATGACCCAAACTTCAATCCATTTGGAGGTGACTCTAAGCCTAAGGACAAAAAGGCTCAGCTCCTGGAAAGCCCCAAGAGCAGGTCAGCTGCTGTGGCTGAGCAGCAAAGTGCCAGACCTACAGACATGGAGAACTCTGCCAGCCAGTAAGTAGGAAGGGGACATAACCATCCAGGGGTAACTGCTCAATACTGTGTGTGATCCAGGGCCTGAGTCCAGATAAATGCAAATTTATCCTTTGCATGACCAGCTTAGTACTCCCCCTGCACCTACAAGACAAAGAGGGCTCAGGCAGGCTAAAAGAACAGCTGCAGGGTCCCATCCCAAGACCATGGGGGTGCCCTAGCTTTCCTCTACTGTGTGACGGCTTATGTACAACTTTGTACATATGTAAACTGCAGGTGGTGTGACTCTTACCCTGGCACCCAGGTGACTCTAGAGTTCTGAGGCAATAAAATATAAACTCAAGCTATCTGTCACTCAGGTGAAAACTGGCTGGCACCAGAAAGCCAATGTCCCTAGGTAGATGCCCTCCAGGAGGCAGCTGTGACCTAAAATGGGTGCTGTCATTCCAGCAGCCATGTAACCTTTCAGCTGCAGGATGACGTCCTCCTTCACATAAGCTTGTAGCACGAGCATCTTAAGTGAACCAGTACGAGAGGTAGATGATAGTTCCATGCAAGAGTGTGGGACATAGGGAGGACCCAGGCCTCTGATGACTCCCTCCTCTCTCCCTCCTCTCTCCCTCCTCTCTCCCTCCTCTCTCCCTCCTCTCCCTCCTCTCCCTCCTCTCTCTCCTCTCTCCCCTCACCCCTCTCCAGTCAGCTGCCTCCAGCCCCAGCGGATACGCAGCATTTGGTAGAGATGGCAGCCAAGAGCTCAAGAGCAGAAGGCAGGGTTCAGGTACGTGAGTGCACACTGACAGTGCATCCCCAAGCTGTCACCATGGTTACACACACATAGAAAGATAGCAGGAAAGGCTGCCAGCACTCTTCTGGTGACAGGGTGAGATACACCACTGTTGTCTCCCCTAGAGCCACTTCCCATCAGGAGGCAGGTGAGGCAATGCCCTACCCAGGACTCCACTGCACAAGATGACGCTGACCTTCCCTCTAGGAGGGAATCTTGAATTCCTCAGGCACTTCAGCTCTTATAAGTTGTCTGGGCAGTGAGCTGATGGCGCCTTCTACTGAGCCAGTGCCTGAGCCATCTCAACAGGGACCAGAGACTACCTTGGACCTGAAGGAGGAGAGCTTCAGAGACCCAGCAGAAGGTATATAGTCCTAAGATGTTGCTGTAGGCTTGCCTGAAAGACCCTGTGAGCACTTTTGTTCCTACGAATTACTTGGTTCAGCTATATCATCTGCAGGTGATCATTCCACAGGCTATTATTCCCTGGTTAACTCGCATACAAACTTCTGGTCCATAAAAAGATGGGTATTTTCAATAAAAAGAGATGGGTTCAATTTGGATTCCTTACAAACCCACAGTCATCAAGAAGGCTAGCAAAGCCTAAGGTCTCTCCCTGACAAAATAATTGCAAATTCTTTCCACATGGAAATAAGTTCAGCCAGACAGGCCTGCCACCCTCACATGGCACCCCTGGAGTCAGTCACAAGTGCCCTTTCATGTATGGGTCCTCCAGGAGTGTAGTGTTCTAAGGGCTTATCTTTGTATCGAATGTCAGTGCTTTACTTTTTTTTAACCCATTGTTCAGTGATGGATATTTGGATGGTCTCCACATCTAGCTGTTACAGTAATGCCACAGCCAGGTGGCTCATTCCTTTAATCCCGGCACTTGGGAAGCAGAGGCATGTAGATTGAGTTTGAAGCCAGCCTGGTCTATACAACGAACTCCAGGCCAACCAGGGCTACATAGTGAGACCCTGTATCAAAAAAAAAAAAAGCTGCAGTGAGCATTGTGTCCAAGTGTGGGGCAGGCTTTGTTTTCTTGGGCACATAACTAGAAGTAGAGTCATGGGTATAGCCACCATGCTCAACTTTTCTGAGGAACTCCAGTTCTAGGAGATCCAACATCCTCTTCTGGCCTCTGCAGGCATTGTACGCATGTGGTGCACTTAGATTCATGTAGGCAAAACACTCATACACATAAAATAAAAATAAGCCAGGTGTGGTGATGCGCACCTTTAATCCTAGCACTCTGGAGGCAGAGGCAGGCAGACCTCTGTGGGTTTGAGGCCAAGCCTGGTCTACATAGTGAATCCAGATCAGCTGTGGCTACAGAGAGACCCTGTCTCAAAGAGAGCTAAATAAATAAATAATAAATTTTTTTTAAAGTTGTCTCTTAAATTGGCAAATTATGAAGGTAAGTCTCTTACCAAAACTGTGGCTAGTAGAAAATAACAGTCGGAGCACTGTGAATGTGGCTCAGAATTCTTGAATAGCATGTGTGAAGCCCTGGTTTTGATCCGAGCCCACCCTCTGTCACAGAATAAACAAGGCATGGTGGTGCATGCGTGCATTCTCAGTACTCAGAAGGTAGAAGCAGGGGCTGGAGAGATGGCTCGGTGGGTAAGAGCACTGACTGCTCTTGCAGAGGACCCAGGTTCGATTCCCAGCACCCACATGGTGGCTACAAACTGTCCTTAACTCCAGTTCCAGGGGAATCCGAAAACCCTCTTCTGACCACCTCGGCATCGCACTACACGGGTGCACTCGTCCACATACATTCAGGCAATACACTTGTACACATTTAAAAAGATCTATTTTCACTTAGTACTTTACCTGCATGCACTTGCACGCATGTCATGCAATGCCCACAGAGGCCAGAAGAGGGTGTCAAATCCCCTGGAACTGGAGTCGTTAAAGGCCAGGGCTCTTAACTGCTGAGCCACCTCTCCAGCCCTCTAAATAAATCTTTTATCTCAAAAGTAGAAGGAGGACCAAAAATTCAGTTATCCTTTGCTACATAGAGGGAGTTTGAGCCCAGCCTGGGCTGGGGAGCCTATTTCCAAAAAGAAGTGACAATTGGATCTCTATTCATGGGTCCCACATCCTTTGATGCAAACAACTTCAGATACAAAGTTTTTTAATAATCTGTTCTGAGGGGCTGGAGAGATGACTCAGCAGAGGAGCTGGGTTCAGTTCCCAGCACCCACATGATGGCTCACAACCATCCAGAACTCTAGTTCCAGGATATCAGACATCCTCTTCTGGCCGCCACAGGCATCACACACCTGGTGCACTTACACATAGGCAGAATACTAATGCACATAAAAATTTTAAAAAGACTACTGGATATGAAGGAACAGAGCCCCCCACCCCTTGTGCAAAGCTAGGGCCTCTGCTGGGCTTCCTTCACAGCAGCAGGGAAGCTGCTGGCTTGGCTGTTGGGACCAATCCCTGCATTTACTTCAAAGAACAGGGTTTCCCCTCCTTGAGACCTTTGGGTGCATAGCCCTCAGCCTGGGGTATAGGAGGTGAATGGCTACTATGGTTTGCTGTTCCAGTTCTAGGTACCAGTGCGGAAGTGGATTATCTGGAGCAGTTTGGAACTTCCTCGGTAGGTACCTGGCACCTGGTGGTAGCCTCAGCCAAAGAGTGCATACGAGTTATCTGAGGGCACTGATCTCCCCATACTCAAGAGCTGCTTCTGGCCTCCACAGACATTGCACACTTGGTGCACTTATAGCTCCGAAATTTTGGCTAGTTGTGTCTGAGGGCCCCTGTCCTGCACCTGCCAGACTCAGTGGCACCCTGTGGTAGCAGAGCCCTAACCCAAAGTACCTCTATCCCCAGATAATCCTGGGCCCATCGGAGTGTGTTGTGCTTTCCCTAGACCCCTTTGCCCAGTATGATTCACTCTGGCTCCTGGGGCTGCAGTCTGTTGACAGAGGTGAATCCTGATTTGCCCTGTCCCATCTCCCCAACTCCCAGTTTAAGGAGTCAGCCTGGAGGAAGCAGTCTTTGTACTTGAAATTCGACCCCCTTCTGAAAGACAGCCCTCTGAGGCCAGTGCCAGTGATCTCCTTAACAAACAGGTATGTCTCCTCTGAAGCTATTAGCATGAGTCAGGGAACTCTAGTGGCTGTTACCAAGTGAACTGGTTGATAAAGAGACTTCTGAGATGAAATGATCTGGGGGCTAGAAAGATTGCTCAGCAATTAAGAGCACTGGTTGCTCTTGTAGAGGACCCAGGTTCAATTCCCAGCACCCACATGGCGGCTAACAACTGTCCGTGTAACTCCAGTTTCAGGGAATCCCATGCCTTCTTTTGACCTACATGATACAGTTACACTTAAACACATGCAGGCAATGCACACGTACACTCAGAATAAAAATGATAAATAAAAATTTAAGGGAATGATCTAAACTAGAATAAGTCACAGTGATGGACCACAGGACAATGAGCCTGGAGCTAGCCTTGTGTGGCAGGCAGCCCATCCTCCATTAAGAGACCCTTCACACATGCCACCCAGGTGGACAGAAGCTCTAAACACACAGCAGAGGTAGCACGTTGGTCCAGCTCAGACCGTGGCCCATTTCACAAATCTGGTAACTTGTGCTACAAAGGCAGAGATTAACAGAAACCATAGAGCCTTCAAATCTGACCTTTGTGGGGAAACCTAGAATGGTTGCTCATTTGGAAGAAAATAGTCAAAATTATGTGAATTGAGAATGACTAGTTAAACAACGTGAGAGTTTTGAAACCAGAAAAAAAAAAAATCGCCCCTAACTGGGAATTTACCCTATACACTGAGGACACCCCAGGAGGTGTCTAGCACCTCAGCAAAGCTTGCATGAGCAGTGAAGCTTCAGGCCTGGCTCTTGGGGAGGTTGAGAGGGCGGTGGAAGGAGAGCCAGCAGCCTCCAGGTCCACATCTACAGTCTCTACTCCCAGCCTTTGTTGGTTTTTAAACTGTAGCTTGTTAAGACAATGCATCTGCCGTTTAGGGCCTGCTAGACACTCAGGGTGTGAGGTAATCCTGCTGCCTGTTTGGTCTCAGTACACAGGATAGAGATGAGCCTGTTGCAGAAAATCCGCTGGAAGCCAAGCTTGTGGAATTGGATTTCTTGGGAGCTTTGGATGTTCCTGTAAGCATGACAGTATCTTTGGAGCAGTCTTTTAGTGATCTCAAGAAATGTGAGTGATCTTGTGGGGTGTATGCTTTACCCCCACAGGTGCCAGGCCCGCCCCTGTGTGTCATTGAGCCTGGAGGTCTCCTGCCTGCTGGACCTATTGTCGACATGCTTCAGTACAGCCAGAAAGACCTGGATGCAGCGGTAAGAACAGGCCTTTAGCTGGTTTGTAAAATTTGGAGGCTGTCTTGGGGAATAACTGAGAGCTAGACCCAGGTGCTTCTAAGTCCATAGTGTGCACGCTGACCAGATACACCCAGGCTGTGTGCACACATCTTCCTCTTGCCTGTCTCAGGGCAGGCCTAGGACCCTGCACTTCCCTTAGGCCTGTACACAGCCACCTGGAATGGCATTGGGGAGCCCCTGTGGCTGTCTTGCAAACACTGAGGGATACTCGCTGGGAGCCTGCTGGGTTCCACTTCGTCAGGTCGCCCTCATGAGCACAGCCAGCTGTCCCACTTCTTGGGCTCAATGATGAGGCTCCAGAGACCTTGGCGTAAAATAGATGTCTGGTTGGGCAGAGACCCCCCCCCAGACTTGTGGTTGTGAGCCACATGCCAGCTGAGGTGTGGCTCCCGCAGGTGAATGCAGCACAGCAGGAGAACCTGGAACTGAGAAGCAAGTGTGAGGAGCTCAACACGAAGTACCTGGAGATGGGGTAAGGCTGCAGGTACCTGCCAGTGCTGACCTGGGTCTGCCCACATGGCCAGACACAGACACTGTTCTCCTCCTGTAGGAAGATTGTGGATGGGTTTGAGAAGATTGTGTACCAGTCAATGGGTGAGTGCGGCTGCTTCCCTCCTCTTGTGTTCCAGGCTAGCCCTATCCCCTGAAGTCCCTTCTGAACAGTATCCTGTCCGTTTCACTTCTTAGCAACCACGCCTACCCCCACAGTGAAGAAGCCTCTGAGGATGAGGTTTAGTAAGGTACCAATGTGGCTAGCAGCCACTGGACACTGAGCTGACAGCTAAAGCTCTAATGAAGGACAGATGCCCTGCTGTTTGTCCACTGTGCCCTACCCCACCCCAGAGATAACTGCAAATAGCAAGGCAGGAACACAGGCCTCAGGCTCCTGGGGGTGTTCCTGTAGGGACTTACCAGGGCAACAGTGGCTAGGACAGATGACTTCCTATCTCCCCTCCCCAGAGGTACACACAACCATGTGGCCCATGCCTTCACATGGGCTTTAAGCCCAGCACACTGGGACTTACTTCCAGTCTTACTAGAAGTATCCAGACACCTCACTGCTGGGTCCTGGGCTAAGCTCCCTATGAGACTGACATGGAGGAGGCAGCCCATGTCATGTCCCAGAGAGCATGGGAAAGAGGGAAGGCTTGTCATCTTGCGGGGGACACTTAATAGTGTCCATGCCTCCTGCACCCTGCAGCTGGCTCCCTACCTGTCCTGCTGCTCAGTTCTCCCCTTCATTTCGGGGACTGTTTCCAGCACTCAATATAATGGCTGCCCCCTAATTCCAAGTGCTTACCTTTTTTTAAGAGGAAGCTGAGAAACAGAAAGAACTTGCCCAAGACAAAATCCAGAAAGTTCTCAGAGAGAAAGACCAACTAACTGCAGACCTGAGCTCCATGGAGAAGTCCTTCTCTGACCTTTTCAAGAGATTTGAGAAGCAAAAGGAGGTGATTGAAGGCTACCGCAAGGTGTGTTGTGTTGCCCTGGCTCTCTGTTCATGGGCCCTAGATAGCAGCTGGGCCGTGAACTGTCCTCTGTGCCTGGGCCTCTGACTGCATCTTCCCTGTCCCCAGAAGAGGGAGTGAGAGCCCAGCCAGGTCTGGGAGACTCGGGTTTGGGAGGTTATATAAGCTTCAGCAGAGGATGCTGGGGTTGTGCTCGGTGGAGTGTGCCTGGCATGTGTGAGGCTTTAGCAAGGATTTGTATTTGGGGTTTTTTTTTTGTTTGTTTTACTTTTTGTTTTTGAGACAGGGTCTCCCTGTAGCCCCAGCTGGCCTGGAACTCACTGTGTAGACCAGGATGGCCTTGAACTCACAGAGATCAGCCTGCCTCTGCCTCTGAGTGCTGGGATTACAGGCATGCACCACCACACCCTACAAGGATTTGTATTCTTGAAAGATGGTGTTTTGGGGACATCAGATGGAAACTGAGCTATGAGCTTGGGGTTATCCTACAGAAGACGGCAGGCTACCAGAAGATAGGAGTGTCAACTACTGAGCTCCACCTCCTGCAGCATAACCCTCAGCAGCCAACTTCTTAACCTCCGGGCACAAGGCCACCAGAGCCCTCAGGGTTGTCACAGCCCACTGTATTGGTCCTCTGCACTTTCCAGCAGGAACTAACACCTGTCAGTGTGAGGGCCTCGGGATCAGGCCCAGGTCCCAGAGGTGGAGATCCAGGAACTGCACTCTGGAAGGGGTCGACTGTAAATACACACGGGAGCTTTTTCTAAAAGGAAAATGGGGAGGGGGCGGGGGCAAATGGCTCAGTGGTTAAGAGCACTGGCTGCTCTTGGAGAAGACCGGGATTCAAATCCCAGCACCTACATGGCAGGTAACAACTGTCTATAACTCCAGTTCCAAGGGATCTGACATTTTCTGACCTCAGGCATTGCACGACACAGGTGCACTCACACACATGCAGGCAATACACGCATATGCATAAAAAATGTGAGTGCACCCGTGTCATGCAATGCCTCAGAGGTCAGAAGAAAGCATTGGATTCCCCTGGAACTGGAGTTAAGGACGGTTCGTTGCCACCATGTGAGTGCTGGGAATCAAACCCGGGTCCTCTGCAAGAGCAGTCAGCGTTCTTAACTGCTGAGCCACCTCTCTAGCCCCAATAACTTCAATTTTTTAAAAGGAAAATGGGAAGTACTGTTTCACTAATGTCCCCCAGAGCCTTGTATCTACAGTCTGCACCCGACCCTGAGAGTCCCCACATGCCAAGACTCAGTGGACTCTGATGGAACAGCACATCATTAATGTTCTGATCTGTTCATTCTCAAGAATGAAGATTCACTGAAGAAGTGTGTTGAGGAATACATAGTGAGGATTGAAAAGGAGGGACAGAGGTACCAAGCGCTGAAGGCCCATGCCGAGGAGAAGCTCAGACTGTGAGTACTAGGCACCCACCTGGGGAGGAGAGCTGGTTGCATCTTCCCTGAGCTAGACCTAGCCTCTGCCTCATCTTTCCCTCTAGAGCAAATGAAGAGATCGCCCAAGTACGCAGCAAGGCCCAAGCAGAGGCACTGGCCTTCCAGGCGAGCCTGAGGAAGGCACAGATGCAGATCCACTCTCTGGAGAAGACTGTGGAGCAGAAGGTAGGACATGGGAACCCTGGGCCCTGTTTCTCTGGACACGGCTTTGATGCAGGGAGTACCTTCCCAGAAGTCCAGAACCAGCCTCTCCCTTTCTAGTCCTCCCAGTCTCCCCACCCAGGAGATAGGCGGGATCTCCCTAGCAAGTTGCCACTCCCTCTGAACACCCTACCATAAACCTGGAGCCTCACCTTTTCTCCTTCAGACTAAAGAAAACGATGAGTTGACTAGGCTCTGTGATGACCTCATCTCTAAGATGGAGAAGATCTGACAAGAGCCTCAGCCAACACCAACCTGTCCTGTCTGTCTCTAGTCCATCTGGTTTGTCTCTTAGCTTTGTGTTCTTTTAACCCTCACTCTTTTCTAAACTACTTTGCTTTTAAAAGAAGACTAAATAAAGTTTCCTAATTTCAGATTCTTAAATCACCCTGATTGTCGTTTTCTTCTTTAATAGAATATCTTGTTTTGTTTTGTTTTTTGGTCTTTTTGAGACAGGTCTCCCTGTAGCCCCAGCTGTCCAGGCTGGCTTTGAACTCACAGAGATCCGCCTGCCTCTGCCTCCCGAGTGCTGGGACTACAGGCGTGTGCCACCACGCCCGGTCTAATAGAATATCTTTTATTCTTTGACAGTTTTGTACATATAAATAATGCATTTTGAACCAGGCAAGGGGGTGCACACCTTTAATCCCAGCACTCAGGAGGTGGATCTCTTGAGTTCAAGGCCAGCCCGGTCTCCATAGCGAATCCAGGCCAGCTAGGGCTACAGGGAGACCCTGTCTCAAAAAAAAAAAAAAGTGCATCTTGTTCATATGCACCCACAACAACTCCCACTCTCCCTGCCATATCCTTTTTGTTAATAACCCCAAATCCAGTTAGTGCTGCCTGTTGGCATGTTAACTGATCTTGTTCAGGTAATCATGGCTCCAGTGATCACGTGGGTGAAAATGGACGTGTCATGTCCAAAGACCGCACTTCACAGCACCCATCCATTTTCTCTAACGTTCTCCGAGCCTTGACGGTGGGGGTTGGTACAGATGTCCCATTTAGGACTGAGCACACAGCAGACACTTAGCTCATTGAGTATTAACTGCTGACCACTGCAGAAAGCTTTTCTGGCCAAAGTTTAGGGGAATACATCTATAAAGATTTAGAAGGCAGTTTGACAACATGTGGGTTAGCAAAACAACAGTACCTCCCAAGTTATGAACTTTTTACTAGGTTTACAGTATCAGGCCTGAATTCCTGTGGAGCAGACCTCTGATCCAAAAGCAGTTGATTACCCCCATGTCACTATTGCACCAGTGGGCACATGTTGCCTGGCAGGCTGATAGTTGTAGCATTCAGGGCTGATAGTACGCCACCCTTGAAGGGGCTAAAGTCCTATCCAGTTTTCAGACTTCCAGTCAGCCACATAGGGTAGGGGAGACCCTTTCTACCTTGGGATCACAGATCAGAAGCCAAATGGATCCAAGTGTCCATATAAGAAAACTGAAAGTAGCCAGGTGTGGTGGTACATGCCTTTAACCCAAGCACTCAGGAGGCAGAGGCAGGTGGCTCTTGAGTTCCAGGCCAGCTGGGGCTACAGGGAGACCCTGTCTCAGAAAAAGGGTTGAAGAGATGGCTTGGCAGTTGAGAGCATGGCTTGCAGTAGACCTGGATTCAATTCCCAGCACCTATGTGGCAGCTAAACCATCAGTGAGTCCAGTTCCAGCGGATCCCCTCTGTCCTAGTTTGTTCATTTCTGTGACAAAACACTCTGACCACTACCAACTTGGGGAGGAAAGGATTTATTTGTCTTACATCTCCTAGGTCACAGTTCATCAGGGAGCCCAAGGTAGGAACTCAGGGCAGGAACCTGGAGGCAGGAGCTGGAGCACAGACCATGGAGGAACCTGCTTACTGGCTTGCTCCTCTGGCCCCTGCTCATCCTGCTTTCTTATGCAACACAGGCCCACCTGCCCAGGGGTGGCACCACCCACAGTGGGCCAGGCCCTCCCACTTCACTCAATAATCAAGAAAATGCCCCACAGATATGGCTACAGCCCAGTCCAATGGAGGCAATTCCCCAATTGAGGCTCCCTCAACCCAGGTGTGTCAAGTTGACACCAAAGCTATCCAGCACGCCCTCTTCTGGCCTCTAGGGGCATTGCACATATGGGTGCACTTACATGCAGATCAAACACTCATAAATCAAGTTTTTTGAAAAGACCAAAGGCTAAGCAGCCAGAGCTTGATGCATTTGGTGTCTGCCTGACAACCAGTGGTCTAGGTACTAGGGTGTTCACAAGCAGGTAAAAGTATCTAGAGCTGCTGGGCATGGTGGCCGCTGCTTTAATCCCAGCACTTGGAAGGCAGAGGCAGGCCAGCCTGGGCTACATAGTGAGTTCCAGGCCAGCTGGAGCTACAGAGAGACTCTGTCTCAAAAAGACCAAAAAAAATCTAGAACTGTGACTGGCTAAGGTAACAGTTTAAAGTGCTGACTCCAGGTGGTAAGGAGCCCAAACAGGCTTCTCTGGTGCTGTCTCAAGATGGCATCAGCAGCTCTCACTTGTCTCCAGCCTACCTCTAACCCAGGCCTGTGGCTGGGCCTGAACCAAAGTAGTGTTTCCTTCCTCTCAATAGGGAGGGGAAAGGCAGAGGAGTCCAGGCCAAAGCCCTGGGAGGTCACATGGTAAGGTCACTCCAGAAATGAGCACCCCTCAGCTAGGGCCATCGTCCCAGGACCTGCTATGGAGATTGCTGATCTGTATGTAGCTGCTAGGGGTTGGAGATCCTCAGGTGGCCAGCACCAGGGGTTAGTGCCAGCCATGGGCCACAATGCAAGGACAAGAGGTGCTGTCCAGAGTGGGGCTGTGGTGCCAGGAATCTGGGTGAACCAACAGGGCCCTTCAGAGAACAGGCTCAGAAGTCTGGTAGCCTGAACCTCCAAGATAGGTCTGTGCTAAGCTCATCTCGAGGACAGTGTCTCACTAGGACAGAAGACCAGGCATACAAGGACAGCTGCCTGGCTAGCCTTAGGCCTCTCTCCTCAGCACAAGTCCCCCCAGACTCACCACCACGCTCTTCTAGACCTGTAGGTCCTCCTGACTGGTCTCCCAGGACCACCCAACTGCTCCCCTACCAGAGACCCAACCCACACCACCCCTACACAGAGATGGGGCAGGCACACTTCTAACTAGAGGGTAGAATTGTGAGAGTGTCAGAGCCTGCCAGACTCAGGCCACAAAGGGAGCTAAGGCCCACAGGGAACAGAGCACCAAGCTGGGAAGGGCTGGCCAGACACAAGCCATGGACAGCACTTCTCTCACTGGGTTGGGTGATGGCTTAGGGGCCAGAAAGGGTCTGAAGCCTCTGGAACTGACCCGCTGCCCACAAGCAGGGCAACTCTATGGTTGCAAGGCTTCCCTTTGCTTGGTGCCATGTTGAAGTGGCCTTGAGAGGTAGAAAACTATAGTCAGTCCTTGCCAGCTCTGCCTACTTGGCTTTTCCCGTCCCACTGAAAGCTGCCCTGTCCCTGCTGGGTCCTCTCCCAGCCAAGCCTAGACTCTGTCCAGAGAAGGCCCTGTGGAGCAACTGGACATTAGGGCAGCTAGCCTGGCCTGGGACTGTGCCGAGGACACTGGCCGCTGGGTAGCAGCCTGGGCCAAGCTTCCTCAGGACAAAGGGGCCTTGTATGGCTGAATGGGCATTTATCCTGGGGGTGGAGGGGGCCCTGGCACTGGCCCTCCATGGGTAAACATGACCCTAGCTGGGCACACGGTAACAAGGCCAGACTTCCGCAGCCCCGTGTCCTCTGACATTACGCAGTGGGCACCCTGTGGGCCTCCTGCCAGGACAGGACAGCGGAGCAAGGGGAGCCTTGGAGGGAGGAGGGGAGCACAGTACATGGGAGGAAAATGGCACAGAAACCCTCCCACAGTGCCCTGGCTCCCCTAGTCAGCAGTCAAATGTCACTATTATGGATGAAATCGGAGTCTCTCTAAAACCTGGCTGAAGCCCAAGCCCCCAACAGGATGGTATGAGGAGGACATGATGGTGGCACTCCAAGAGGAGAGACGCACTCTGCCATATGACACAGTATGTGGGTAATGTCTCCCCAGTCACTTGAATGCTGAGCCTCTGGGCTCAGAGATCAATGCCTTTAGTTTAAGTCTCCAGACTTGGGGGTTTTGCTTTCCCAACAAAATAAGCCCACCATCAGAGCTGCCTGACCCCTAGCCTACCCTCTACCCAGTGGTCACAGGCCAGCTGGTGGTTCCTAGGGCTTCAAGCCCCATAGAGGGAAGCCAAGTCCCCTCTAAGATTACATCTAGGACCATATGGGAACGACTAGAGCCCAAGCTGCCTCCATAGGCCAGTTAAGACCTTTTTGAGAGGATCAAGTGGATCCCGCATCTCCAAGCTGACTATCCTCCATGTCGTCACCCACCTATAGCCCTAGCTCTCTCCAGCACTACCTCTTCAGGTGCTGTACCCATCCCATGCTGAACCCCAGACACTCCTGACCCCTCAGAGTCCAGGCATGTGAAGGCCACTGCATGGCCACCCCAGCCTCTGGAGGCCCTTGGTAGTGTTTATACTAGTGGGACCTGGACACCCAGCCCTGAATCCTGAACTCCCTCTGCTGGACCCTCCTCTGCCTAGAGTGGGTTGAATCCATGTCTCCTGTCTCTCTTAGGAGGCCTCAAAGGGGAAAGCCTTACCAGGTAACTTCTCAAAAAATAGAAGCCCAAAGGGAGTAGATGGGAATAGAGACTCATCTCCACAACTAAGATGGGTTCTGCCTGAGGTCTTCCTGAGGTGTGCCCAGAGGCAGGTCTCAGTGTTGGGGTGTGTCCCAGGGGTAAATGGCATGTCCATGGTGGCCCCTATGCATGTTGGGACAGGTGCATATGTGCTGGAATTGCTCCAGCTGCCTCTGCTCCCTAACCAACTCCAAGCTCCCCTCCTGACTCCAGGATGCTGCCAGCTGAGCCATTAGGTCAGGCAGACTGCAGGGGGCACCATCAGCTAGGCCTGAGTCCTTTCTTTAGCCCACAGGCGTTGTTTCTACCAAGCCATCACTATACCCACAAGCCTCTGCACCTGGGTCTCTAGACCCACACCTTGGGATGCTAAGGACTCTCCTGCCCTTCCATCAGACCCTGACCAGCTAGGCATGGCTCTGTTCCTGAACAGCTCCACTGTTCACACCTCCCCTATGTCCTGAGGTGCCCCATGCACTGGACATAGCCAGGCCACAGTAGAGAGGCTGAAGGCCCTTGAGGATGGGGACCAGCCATAGTAGGCACCAGGGGCAAAGCACAGCCTGGCCCAGGGCACAGTCATGAGTAGATGTGGATTCTGCATCCCAGTACTCTGAGCCACCAGGGCCCCCAAACTCACCTACTCACTGTCCTCCACGCAGGACTTGCTGCCCCATT